TGCAAGAAATGCTCGATTTTAGCAATTTTCAATTTTTTTTGTTTCTTAGTGCTTTCAAGCACGGGTTTGTTGTTTTTTAATGTCATTAGCACTCTTTTATTTTGTATGTCTTTTAATTAAAAATATTTTTTTTGTTATTCCGTGCATTCAAGTATGGGCAATTACTAGTATTTTTATATTATTGAAATTCACGTGTTCTTATCACCATTCAATATGTGATAAAAATGTTTTAATACTATTGTTTGGGGGTAAAAAGAAAAATAAATGTTTTTCAAGTATGTTGACATTTTAAAGTAATATAAATTATATTAACCTCTAGATTCATCAATTTAATATTAAATTTTATCAAATTAATGTCATCAATTTAATATTTAATTTTATTAAATTATTGTCATCTTAAATTTCAATGTATTCTCCTATGTCTTTGCATTTATCAACGGTTAAAGAAGACACCAATCCTATAATAATACATCACAACATATTAATATAACAAAATAAAAGCAAAAATTAAAAAAATGTGCACGAACAAAATTAAAAAAAAAATTGCATGAAAAATATTTAAAAATCTACATGAAAAAAATTAAAAATATCTGCATGAAAGAAAAACCTACATGAAAAAATTTTAAAAAATTTGCATTAAAAAAATTGTTAATAATATCTGCATGAAAAAAATTTTAAAAAACTGCATGAAAAAAAATAAAAAAAACTACATGAAAAACATTTATAAATCTGAAATAAAAAATAAAAAAATATTTTTTTTATCAACTTAGATAGTGATTGATCACTGTGGAGAACAAGTTGAAAAAGAATGACTAGCTTCAGTTCTTTATGTCTTCTGGCAACACTAGATTATTTTTGACCTTCAACAACAACAAAGGGTACAGTATATATAGTTGGAAAAGAGTTGATGATATTTTAGTATATTTACATAAAGAAGGATAATTTTGACATTTTTAGAAATTTTATAGTCAAACCGTGTTTTTTTAATGACAGAGTTAAAAATTACCGTTAAGGGGATGTCTTTGATTTGAAAGAATAAATCAAAAGGAGATACAAAGAAGTTTCCGAATAGGGAGAGAGTGTTATTGAATTTAGACCTAACCGGAAGATATAGATGAAATTTTCCCTTAATCTAATTGACTATGTTGAGATAATACACCAATCATATGTTTCCACAAAGAAAATATGATGTATGTGTGATCACCCATAATTATGTTGATGTAGAATAAGTTGTAGTAGATTATTATGAGCGGAAGGCCGTCCTGCATTAAAAACTTAGCCAAAAGCTACAAAGGAGTACTCCCGAACTAATAGGCCAACGATCAATTCTCATAACTGTGCTATTAATTCTGTGTTTCAACAAGCATCATTGTTTGAGCCTTCAAAATAGTTTTTTTGCCATTTTAAGAAAATAATTTTAATATTAATAATAAATAGTAAAAAATTTTGATTTTTCTATTGTTTGTTTTGTTAAATTCCAAAAAACACATGTTTTTATGTCACTTACATAGATTGCATTTTTTTTAGGGAAAATTTCAACCGCACCCCTTCTAGTTTATCATATCTTCAAAGACATCCCCTCTATTTTCTGAATCTTCACTGACATTCCTATTAGAGTAAAAATATTAATTAAAATACAATTTTACTAAATTGTTCATGATATATTTGAAGACAAACTTCATTCACACCCCCTCTCTAGATAAGCATATCTTCAATGAGACCCCTTCTGTTTTCTAATTTTTTTTAAGTATTAAAATTCGGATCGATTATAATTTGATTCAAGCTAAGTAAATTTTTGTTTACATATTAAAATTTGAGCAAATTAAAAATTATATTTTTTACGCATTAAAATTTGGGCTAATTAAAATTCTATTTGAGCGAATTAAAAATTATTTTTAATGGACTCAAATCAAATTTTAATTAACTCGTATTGAATTTTAATCTGCCCAAATTTTAATAAATAAAAAAATATAAATTTTAATTGACTCAAATTTTAATAAATCGAATTTTAATTAACACGAATTTTAATAAGTAAAAAAATATAAATTTTAATTGAATTGAAAACGAATTTTAATCGATGCTAATAACTCGCGTAGAGTTTAAATCGGCACAAATTTTAACACAAAAATAAATTTTAATAAGCTCTAATTTTAATGATATAAAAAAATAAAATTTAATCAGTTTCAATTGAATTTTAATTGGTTTAAATTTTAATATGTAAAAAAATAAATTTTAATCGGCTTAAATTTTAATAAAATTTTATATAAAAAAATTATTTTAAGTTTATGTAGGGCATTTTGGTATTTTAAATGATTTTTTTTTTGTTAGAAATAGTAGTTTAATGGTATGGGGTGTTAGTGATGTTTAAATATAAACTATATGGGATGTCAGTGATTTTTTGGTAATAAAGAAGGTATTCTTGAAGATATAATAAACTCGGAACTGAAATTTTTCCCTTTGTTTTTTAAGTTCTAAAATTCCAGCTCAATCCAATTTCAAAAATTTAGTCATGGGTTAGTTTCGAATCGGAGTTGCTCGGGTTGTGGTTTGGTTGGGTTAGACTCGGGTTGAAATCTACAATAATAAGATAGGATCAATTTTGAATCTCTAAATTAGGAAAGCACACGATTCAGATTTATTTAAAAAAATTGATTCAACGGTCTAAAATCACTTGTAAAAAATTTTCCCCCCGGTCTAAAATTGATCCAAAGATTGAAATCACTTCCAATCCCCCTCTCACGTTTCTTCTCTCTCTTCCCTCAGCCCTCTCAGCCTTAATCACTCATCCACTCCCCCTAAACTTCATCTCTCTCCCGTCTACCCGCCCTGTCTTTATCCCCATCTCCCTCATATCTCTGCCCCTCTCTGTGCTCCTTTGCTTCCGTCTCTCTCACCCTCATCTCTGTTCTTCCACCCCTTAGCCGATGGTTTCCCTCTCTATCACATTTTTTTGGTTATTATGGGTGAAATCAAGCCCATGATTTCCAACTAATTTTCTTTTGGTTATTACCAGATTTCCAAGAGAAGGCCCGCGCCACCACCACGACACCGGTGTCCCTCTGAGGTAGTTTTCTTTCTCCCTTCCCCACCCTTATTTCTGTCATCCTTTCTGCGCACAAACCGCCCCCATAGATGCCCTAATTCGCGTCTCCCCTCTTCTTGATTCTTTCATTCTCTCTTCTTCCCTTCCCCGTTTCTCTTCTTTCCATCTCTCTCCTACATCGGTAACCACACGACTCTCTATTTATCTCTGTCTCTATCAGTCTCTCTCCGTACAACACACATATCGTATGCAAGGTGTTCGACCAAATGCACACAAGGTGTTCGATCAAATGACCAAACGCACACACATAGCATGCACAACACGCACACCACACGCCACACAGCCCACACATACACACACAACAGTACACACGCCACAAAGCTCACATACATGCACAATATAACACATAACACAACACACACACGTACAGTAATACTTTATGACTGATTGCAGTAGTTTTCAAACCTTGCAAATGCCTTAGATAACTACAAATCCTGTAGTAGTATTGAAATGTTTTAGCTTCAACCCTTAAGTATTTGAAATTATTCTTTTTATGCTTAATAAAATCTGAAATGACTTTTGAAATTGAAATTTGGATATAATGTTCAATGGTGGAATGGTCATCAAACTTAGAATTTTCTAAGTTTCAAAATGCCTTCAAGTATGGGTTATTACTAGGATTTCAATTTTGGGTTTGTTGCATGATGATAATCTTATACATAAATGCATTGGGGTATGTGTTATATGGGATTTTAAGGAAAAAAACTTTTGACTGAATTTCTTATTTTTAAGGAAAAAACCTGTTGTGTGATACGAGGTTTTTGTGCGGTTGAGTTTCTTAGTTCTATTTATTTTTTTCAATTTTACTATTCAGTTTTGAATGAATTATGGTGTTTTTTTTTTATATTGAATGAAGTATGGTGTTTATGTGGACATAAAAAGAGTTAAGATGGATGTGATTCTTCCGAGTGACTGAATTGCTTGTATTTGAAGATGAAGTGTTTATCAACTTCATATATGCTCTTTTAGACGAGCGGGTAATTTAACCCCCATTTCCATTTTTTTTTGTTCTTAGGATTCATGTATTCGATAGCATGATATGACACAAAAAATAGTGAGCTGGTGACTTTTTTGTCTTATAAATTTTTTGGCATTGACCATCCAAAAACCTCTACCATTGCCCAACACCACCCCTTCCTCCTCTCCCCTATTTGCCAAAGCCATTGACCTAAAAAATCATTGTTGTTTTTTTTATAGTATGTCTGTCATTTTTAATTTCCTCTGCTTAGATTTGTTTTTAATTTTTTTTCTCCTTTAATTTTTGTATTCTTTTGATGCTAAGTTTTGGTTGAAGATGGCTATTAATATTACTGTTTTTGTTCGTTTATTCTCATTTCAGTATCAATCGAATGAAATATTTTGTAGTTGATTGGGTATAAGAAGTGAACGTTGTTGTGGGTAGCTAAGATTTTATACTTCGTCGATCAAGCATAGCTATCTAAGTTTTTATGCTTCTTCAATCTATGATTTGGGTACATTTTTTGATTGTTGATCAATTTAATAGTTTGGCAAAGCTCGATAGTTGATTTTAGAATTGAATCACTAAAAGTTGTGTAACTTGGTGGATATTTAACCTATATTTTGATGTTTGTAGGTGTTGTTAATATGCAAAGATGTTTGTATATGTTTGCAGGTTTTTAATTTGATATTTTTCAATTGTGTTTTGAGTTAGTTATTTGAGGCAATGAAAGATTCATAAGATCATTTTTATATTCGAAATTTGATTTGTTTGCTTATTTTTTTTTCAATTGAATGGGTCAATGTACTTGAGAAATTCATAGGAAAGGGGCTAGATATTGATATTTTTACAGAGACAATTGAATTACTAGATGCTCACAACTAAAGTTGGATATCTTGCCAAGTTTATGGATCATGATTTTAAGGGGGAGATGAGGAAATGGGTCATGGTCGTGGTCGTCGGTCGAGTTTGATGGGAAAAGATGGCTTGGACTTAGAGGCGACGTTAAGTATGGTATACATGTATGTTAATTGGTAGTATTTGTTGGTGAGATCATGAATTATCACCTTTTTTTTTTTTTTTTGCATGTGATCAAGCCACTATATTGGTTTTCGTATAATAGGTGACACTGGGAGGCTTAATGTACTCAGATTGTAATTTTGTTGGTATTGAGATATTGTCATTAATTGAGTTTTTTGCTTTTGTTGGTTAAAGTTTTTTGGAAATGTACTTTTGAGTAAGAATGGTTGTTCAATTTATATCAATGAATTTTTATTTTTTTATTCTACTTTTTTGTGTTATAGAATGTTGTTAGGCACAGACATTAACTTTAGAGGTTTTATTGTTTTTTGTATATTGGGCAATTACGTGCTAAGGTACTATGTCGGTGATTATAATGTTATTTGGACAGTTACATTAAAGCTACTATATGTTAATGCAGTTAAATAATCATTTGCAGTAAAGTATACTTCAAGTTTAATTCAATTTTATTACATGAAGCATGCATTTTATTTTTTTTATACAATTATTAGAAACCACCAATAATTGCATGAGGTATTAATCTGGTGGAGATTATAGCCGTAGAGATTGGGTTATAACTTATATCTCAATGTCCACATGGAGTTTATTGCAATGTGGTTGATAATTCTGATTTAGTTGGTGGGTGATTGTATTGTTACAGATTGCTTCAAATCTTAGTTTTCTATCTAATAATATGTAAGAACATCATTTTCATTGTGATTGAGTTTCAATTTCGTTTTTCAAGTATTGAATTAAGGTTTTGTTAATTGTTGAATGTTATAGTTGGTAGTGGTATTGTATGTAGTTTGTATATGTTTTGTTTGTTCCGTATTTAGTACGGTGAATTAAGTATGCATGGTTATGAAGATATGTTTGGTTTGATGTGAATTGTTGGTTGTGTTGGTCATTGATTTTGAGGGAAATAGAATTAAATTGTGGTGGTACGGTGTATTATGATGATTGTTATGTACAATTGTGAGTTTTGTACATAAGTTTAGATTTTTTTAAGTTCCTATTTTTTGAAAAAAATTTGCTAAAATTTTTGAAAAATAGTAGGAACTAGCTTGATTTTAATTTGTTATATTAAAGAAAATGAAGTAAACATTATTTCAAATTGACAATTTGTTTTAGGTTATAAAGTGTTTTTAAACAATGTATATTTTGTTGAATTTTATTTTAATTTTTTTATTACGTCGTGCCTTCTGGCACGAGCAATTACTAGTCAAATAATAAGAAGTCATATACGAAACAATTTCTAAATTCAATACTCAGGTGAGACCGAAGATGAATCAGAAACTTGGACGAGGGAAGCAACCCACAGGTACTCCATCATTAGCGTGGTCATGTGCTGTCGTCATTGTTTCGATTCTCGCCGGTGCCTCCGTCGTCCACAACATCTACAAGCCTAACTTGGTAAGTGGTAACTGTCTTTTTGGCTGTTGATAATGCTGTATTTTTTTGTTGTGCCCGTAAGCTGTTTGATAAAATGTCTTTTGACATTTTCTGTATGATATTTGAACTACATCTTTACCTAGTATTGCTCGGTGTCTTTCTGTGCAGAATTATGTTTCCTGTGGTTTCAAATGCCCGTTACTCTTTGATAAAATGTATGTGACGGTATGAACTAAGTATGTGAATAATGGTTAGTCACTACAGTAGAAGACATGATAAGCTTGTGAGCCATTCAGCTTTACTATACTCCACATTTCTGTAACCTGTTTGATGAAATTTATCTTGGGAATTTTAGAGTCTGATTCCCAACCAGGGGACCTGGCCAGTTGTGGACACGATTGGTTGGTTTTAAGCTTGCTGGCGTTTGCAAGTCCTCTTTCCAGATAGATTCAATCCTGCATAGAAAATAAGACACTAATTAATTCGGTTTTAGTTTTGCATTAAACCTAATGACCTATGAAGCATTGATACTTTGATTGGGGCGTGAATACCTATATTTGTCGGATACTCGTGGTCATGGATACATATTGGATACTTTTTGCACGTATCGAATAATTAATAAAGCCTATATCCCTGTTGGATACTTGTTGGATGCACCTTAAATATGTGTATGTCCATGGTGGATATATTTGTCTTATACTTAGTGGTGTGAGTTATGTAGAACACATCAATCATACAAATAGGGATTCCTTGTTTGAAAATATTCATTTGAATGTGCATCACATATGTCACAAGATTTATCAATTCTTTACAATTTGATTGGCTTGAATAATAATTTTTATGGCTTATGTCAAAGCCAATGAAGTTTATTACAATTAAATGCTAGTTAAAAATTGAGAACTCTTGAAAGGTGACACATATGCAACTTTAGAATTAAATAGAACATTGGATTTGAAACACCATTAAGTTGTCCATATGTCAACAAAAATAAATAATTTAATTTGGGACGTGTTTTATCTCTTAATCCCTCATATACCTACTATTGTGATAATATTCTATATTCTATATATTGTTTTAATTTGGAACATGCTTTATCTCTTAATCTCACATGTAGCTACTATTGTGATAACATCCTATATTATGTATATAAATGTATCATAGTTGTATTCGTATCCTATTTTTTAAGATTTTGTCGCATCGTCATATCTATATCTATGCTTCCTAGCTGATACCAAAATTAGGTGAGCCTTCAACTAAACCAATTCTTGATTTTTTCAGAAGACCACCTTCAGGATTGATTGACTATCATTGTCAACAAATCATATTCATTTTTGGATGACTCAAATCTCCAATACCCAGAAAATTATGGCATTTTAAAAGATCAGCCTTTCCTTTTTCTTTTGTATATAAGAAATCGACCCTCCAATTCATTATATCGGCATTATCTTTAATTTTATCTTTCAAATTTCCTGTCTTATTTATCATATTCTTGATGGAGTTTCTGTAATGTGATGTGCAGACTTTACCACCAGTAGAAGGTGCTGATGGGACCAAGGTCAAGCCACCTGATAAGAAATAAGTTTTTTTTTTTTTTTTTGTTGCATTCAGTATGAAATTTGTTTCTGGTATTGAGGACAGAGATAACAATGCATTTCACTGTTATCTCCATCCTAAGTAATGAATCTCAAATGCCATCAAAATGTTTTCATGTGAAACTTTTTTTTTGGTTATGTTTTCAGTGATGTCTTATTTCATTGCTTCACCTTTGGCAGACATGTCGATAAAAGTTTCCATGTGCACTAAAACATAGGTGACCAGGCGTTTTGATTTATGCACCTTCTCAGCCGAGAATCTGAAACCATTGAAATCACCTCCTTCAAATTAAAGAACTTAAGAGAGTAAACAAGGTAAAGCAGCTTCCTTTGCGTCTTCAGCTCATAAACTCAGTAAAGTTTTACTAAACAAGTGAGAAACTTGACTTTGAGAAAGAAGGGGGCACACTACGGATACGGAACCACATTATCACAAGATAAATTGATAGAGAAATGGCCCCGCTAAATCGTGTAGCAAGTAAAAAGCCATAGCAGTTCAGAAATAGTAAGGTCTAGTGCCTTATCATAAGTTATGCTAAGCATTACTCCTAAAATGTTTCAAATCCTGATCTTTGATGAGTTTTGATGGTATTCTTCTTCTTCTTGTGATTTTTGTCTCTTTTATAAGTACTTCTTGTGGACGGTTAATCCTAGTAGATCACTTCCATCTTCTTCCCTTGTCCCATTTGCTGCCTTCTTGATTTTCAAAGGCCACCCACCCAATTTTGAGATCTTTTGTTAATAATTGCTTCTTCTTTTTTTTTTAATACAGAGTAACTACTTATTCCCTCAAAACAAGAGACTTTGTGCAACTACTCTTCTCTCAATTTAATAATTCATGTCGATTGGTTTGCTTACTCTATGTGTTTATTAAATGATGATCACGTAA